AATCAAGCACAGTAATCCAACAGTCATTGAACCAGGTTTTGGTGCTTTTGGCAGTGTGGGCAGCTAATATTTTAATTTTTCGAATGTCACCTGTATGGATTCCAAACCTTTTTCCAGATTTTTTCAAAACTTTCCTTAACTTACTTCATAGTAGGGCAGTGTTTATGGTCTACTTTAAGATGTGTGGAGCCCTGAGTCCCTTCAGGGAAAAGGGCGGCATACAAATAAATTAAAATGAAAATGAAATGAAATTTCAATTCTTCAGTGCTGGCTGTGGAATTCTGGAAGTTGAAGTTCACATATCTTGCTTGGTGGTCAAGGTTGAGGAACACTGAAATACTTCTCCAAATTATTCTACTAGAACTTCCTCGTAGTCTCCCAAACAAGTACCAAACTAGATTGACCTTGCTTATTTTCTACATATAGGAAAACCATCAACTTTGAAGGCTAAGAATTTTCCTGCTCCAGATCAGTGTCATTGGGCTTCTTAATGGAGGACCAAATGGGGTTGCAACTATTGTAGTATCCACACATTCACTTGGAGGGCACAAAGTTTAGGAAGGATGCTGTGTGGAGATTAGTTAGAGAGGATGGCTCTAGGCAGCGATCTGATTCGGAAATGCAAAGTGTGATTTACTGCATGCAGAGCATCTGCCAGGAACAGCTTTAAACAAAGTGTTTCCTGGAAATTGCATTATGTCATCCTGGAAATTGACATCCTTAATTTAGGCCAGAGTGTACCTGATGGGTGCTTCTCGCAAGCATGCCTATTTTCCTTTGGCTTCAGATCTCTGCAACAGATCTCTATACTTGGGAGCTTAGATTAGCTTTGAGCCCAGAAGGTGCAGAGAGTGGTGAGGACATCAGAAAAGATTATTAGACATTTGTTTCCTTCTATCCGGCACATGGCATGTAAGTGATGCTTGACCAGGATCTGCCGTATTGTCAGGGATGCTACATGTCCTCTCTATCACTAGTTTTCTTTGTTACCTTCTGAGAGGAGATTTCGTGGTATCCAAAAGCAGAACAACTAGATTCTGTACAGAGCTGAGATTCACTTACCTTTCCTACTGGTTGCAAATGTGAGCATGTATGTGTGATCGCTTCGCTCGCATGCGCCTCATCTGCACATACACACCACCTTCTGCACATTTGCAGTACTTGCGCATTTTGTCGGGGCGGGTGGGCAGAGCCTCCCATAGCCGCTGCTACCAGTTCTCCCGAACCAGGGAGAACCGGCTGAATACCATCTCTCATTGTGTTATAGTTTTATACTATATAGTATCAAATTCTCAACTCTCAAACAATTTCATATTGTACTTTAATGTCTGTGAGTTGGGAACTGGAGCAAAATATTTTCAATGGAAATAAACAATGAAAAGATACTTGCTATCTGCTGCATTATGTAATTCAGTCACTAGTTCTGCAGTAATTAAAGAGGATACTAGTGATCCTTATTCATTCTCGTTTTATTTCCCCTCTCATAGAGATCTCTCCCTCCACCTCCCACTATTTATTCAAAATGGTCTGTGCTTAGGAATAGTACTTACACTTCTATACCACTTCACAGTGCTTTACAGCCCTCTCTAAGTGGTTTACACGGTCAGCATATCGCCTCCAATAACAATCCTCATTTTACCTGAGGATTGTTGAGTCAACATTGAGCCTGTCAGAATCGAACTGCCGAACTACTGGCAGCAGTCAGTCAGCAGAACTAGCCTGCAGTACTGCATTCTAACCACTGCGCCACCCCCTCTTGTACACTCTGTGTGTGTGTGTGTGTGTGTGTGTGTGTGTGTGTGTATGTATGTATGTATGTATGTATGTATGTATGTATNCGGAAGGCCGAGAGAGTGGGAAGGGTCCGGATCTCTGCAGGTAGATCATTCCACAGGGCCGGGGCAGTTACAGAAAAAGACCTCCCCCGAGTAGTCGCCAACCGGCATTGCCCGGTTGACGGTACCTGAAGGAGGTCCAGCCTGTGAGATCTTATGGGTCGTTGGGAGGTATGTGGCAGGAGCGGTCCTGCAGATATCCAGGTCCCAAGCCATGTAGGGAGGCCCGGCTGAGTGAAGACAATTCAGTGGTGCATGTAGTGGATTGAAGAATACAGGTAGTCCTCAACTTATGGCCAGAAGTGAGTTCAAAATTTCTGTCGTTAAGTGAATTTTACCCCGTTGGATAAGCTTTCCTGCCACAGTTAAATGAATCACTGCAGTTGTTAAGTTAGCCACATGGTTGTTAAGTGAATCTGGATTTCCTGTTGATGTTGTTGGTCAGAAAACCGTGAAAGAGTGACCATGGGACATGGCATCTGTCATAAATATGAGTCGGTTGCCAGGCACCTGAATTTTGATCGCATGATCAATAGTCGTAAGTGTGAAAAATGGTCATAAGACAATTTTTTTCAGCACCGTTGCCACTTCAAACAGTAACTAAATGCAATGTTGTAAGACGAGGACTACATGTACTTGGAAGTTGGAGGGGAGGTGTCTGTTTGACACCATGGTCTTAAATGTCACTTTTCCCCCCCCCCCCCAGCTATCTCAGTTTCTGCAAACCGGGCCTAAGAAATTGATTTCCTACTGTACCTTCTCTCAGCCAAATTTGCTGCGGTTGGAAAATCCCTTCCCAACACAGCCAACAACTTCCAGCCTTGCATTGCCAGGGCTGAAAGAATCCAGAGCTCGCTTGTTGCTCCCGGTTGTTCCAGCAAACCTCCCTCTGGATTCTGCGCAGCTTTTGAAAGGGTCCTCACTCCCTCCTTGGCCAAAACTCTGTGCCGCTGAATTGCCACGAGAGGAGGAGACCTCTCGATCTTACCAGGAACTGGAGGGGCACCAGGTAAGAGTAAAACTCAGGTAAGGGTAAAACTGTAATTCAGAAAGAAATATAGATAGTCCTTGACCTATGACCCAGTAGTGGGATTCAAAAATTTTTTTACTACCGGTTTAGTGGGCGTGATGTGGCTTGGTGGGGGTGGCTTGGTGGGCATGGCAGGTGAACGATACTGCAAAATCCCCATCTCCTCCCCACTCCTGGGGGAGGATCCTGCAAAATCCCCATCTCCTCCCCACTCCTGGGGGGAGGATCCTGCAAAATCCCCGTTTCCTCCCCACTCCTGGGGGGAGGATCCTGCAAAATCCCCATCTCCTCCCCATTCCGGGGGCAAGGTTACTGCAAAATCCTCATTCCCTCCCATCAGCTGGGACTTGGGAGGCAGCGAATAGATGGGGGCGGGGCCAGTCAGAGGTGGTATTTGCCGGTTCTCCGAACTATTCAAAATTTCCGCTACCAGTTCCCCAGAACCTGTTAGAACCAGCTGAAAACAATCTCTGCTATGACCACTACTGAGCTCAATATTTATATTGCTAAGTTAGAGACAGTTGTTAAATGAACTTGGCCCATTTTACAACCTTGCTTGACACAGTTGTTAATTAAATTGCTGCCGTTGTGAAAATAGCGGCACGATTGTTAAATGAATCTGGATTCCCAGATTCCGACCTTGCTAGTCAGAAGGTTGCAAAAAAATGATCACATGACCCTGGGACACTGCAACCATAATAAATACATGCCAGTTGCCAAGTGTCTGATTTGATCATATGATCAGCGGTCATAAATGTGAAAAACTGAATGTCTCTTTTTAGCCATTGTATCTCCAAATGGTCACTAAAAGAATGATTGTAAGTCAAGGACCACCCGTGAAAGTTTCAGCCCTCATCTATAGAAAATAAGTACCATATCAAGTGTCCTTCATGTTGAGTATGATTCCTGATGACTTCATGGATACATTCAATATTTATTTCTAAACATCAATGCAATTTTTTTTTTTGCTGTACAGGTGAAACTCAAAAAATTAGAATGTTGTGCAAAGGTTCATTTATTTCAGTAATGCAACTTAAAAGGTGAAACTAATATATGAGATAAGACTCATTACATGCAAAGCAAGATAGTTCAAGCCNTTTGTTGCTGTTTTAATATTATAATTTTTGCACAAATTCCCATGGATCATTTGTGCTACTGAATTGTGCCGCAATTATTATTATTATTATGTGTGTACACCTTGTTTCCCTGAAAATAAGACCACCTCAGATAATAAGCCCAATTAGACTTTTGAGCGCATGTGCTAAAATAAGCCCTTCCCCAAAATAAGCCCTCCTCAAAAATATTGCAACACAGTAGCAGTGATGAGGTGATCACGCTCGCTGCCTCCTGTACCTCAAAAATAATAAGACCTCCCTCAAAATAAGGCCAAGTGCTTATTTTGAGGGTCAAAAGAAAATAAGACCCTGTCTTATTTTCGGGAAAACACTGTGTGTGTGTGTGTGTGTGTGTGTGTGTATGTATGTGTGTGTGTGTTTGTGTGTATAATTTTTCTTTACTGTGCTTCTGTACATGATATATCCTGACAATGCAGTCTATTCAAAATATTTATGAATAAAATAATAAGACTTTTAAGAAAATTATAGAAAATTACAGGGAGACATCTAAGTCAAATTCAATGTGACATTTTTCAGACCCAGCCTTTCTGCCAAATTATCTACAGTAATTTTCAGAGTATTGGGAAGAAGAAAGGAACGCTTGAATTCAGTTACTGCTGTTCTGCTTATTTAGATGTGTCTGCTTGGGTACTCGAATGTGCAGAGATGGGCAAAATGATCACGGACTTAAAAGAAAGAGAAGAATCGGATTTCTATAAAATATGGAATAGAATTTATAAGTGGCTAGAAAACAGAAGCCAAAACAGGAAATGGAAGTCTTTGTTTTTGGTTTTTTTTAAACTAGTACTGAATGAAAATTAACCAAAGTTAATTACTATCAAATTTAAAGTATTGACCACAATGTAAGTACAATGGTTATATGAACAATTAATATTATTATAATTGTTAGTACAGTTGTTATTACAATGTCACAGAGGTTAAAACAGATAGGAAGGCAACAGAGAATGTAGATCTACAAAGGCTAAACATGTATGCCAATACAGAAGGCTGTATAACTATCTTTTATATTGTTATGTGTGTCTGGTTTTTTTCTTTCTTTTTGTTGTGTTCCCCCCCCTGTTTTTAAAGGTAAAAATGTTTACTAAAAACTATTTTTAAAAAAAAGATGTGTCTGCTTGTGTTCCAGCAGGAGGATGTGGGTTTGGCACATGTGGAGAGCTTGTGGAAAGGCCCAGAGGGATCTACGAAGAGCGAAAATGTCCCAGGGACTAGAGAGACATTGGGAAGAAAACAGAACCAGGAACAAAACAAGTTAATGGTAAGTTTAGTTTAATAAGTTTAATAAGTTTAATAACTTTAAATGCCGCCCAATCCCGTAGGACTCCGGGCGGCTTACAGTACAGAAATAAGTCAAAAATAAAATACAGAGAAAGAAAAGATAGATTTAAAAACAGCACATCATACACTCTGTTCTAAATGGGGCTGGACCGTATTTTGGGGTCAACAGCCCCAGGCCTGCCAGAACAGCCAGGTTTTAATG